GAATTGGCCAGGGCTGGGACTGCCAGCCTCCGACCACCTGGAGTGTCGGAGCGTGGCTTTCTTAACCAGTCTGCGAAGGAAGTCTTGGGCAGTGGGTTCATCGGAACGCGTGCCGGCGACGCGGACCTGGACATCCGCGCGCATTATTTGGCGCACGATGTTCTCGTCCATCTGTTCGCGGATCCAGCTGCGCACGTCAGCCAGGACCTGGACCCGGCACGAACCTGTTTCCCCATGCTGAACTGACTCAGAAATAATGTGGCACAGGCCATCATCGTTTGGGTCGTCACTGGGGAGGTCACGGTAGCAGCTTGCACAATGCTGCTTGGCGGACCGGCACTCAGCAGGTCCATTCTCGATCAATTGTTGAATCCGCTTGCGGGTGTTGCCGATCACTCGAACGATGCAATTCGGGGCGAAGCTGGCGTGGTTGGTGGCAAGATCTTCGGCTCATGAGCACAATCCCTTGTCGGTCGTAGGATCAGAGAGATCCCCGTCCAGGATCTGATCGCGATAGCGATGTGCTGAGGCCGTGCCCTGATGGTCTCGGAAGAATATCTCCGCTCTGCGGCGGAGTTCTTGGCCCAGTGCATCTTCGACGCGCGGGCCACCCATGACATCGTCATAGTCGGAACGCATCACCTCGACGAGCTGCGCCTGGGCGGGGGCAACGGCAGGCGCAACGCTTCCAGTGTCAGGGACGGGGACGTTCGCAGCATCGAGCGGCGGAATGGCGGAAGCCATGAGAATATTGGTCGCTGAACGGGTTCCTCAGCATGTCTCCGTACTTCTTGTCAGATAGTACTGTCGATTCCCGGAGACTGAGTAGGGATGCCAACGCTGGATGATTTTTGAGAATGTCTGTGGACGAAGTCGCTGACAAACGATATGTAGCATCACTCTGAAGAACGGCGAACAGATGTGGGATCCAGCGAGACAATACTAAATCGTCTTTATCACCCCACCTCATCTCCGTCATCATGGTAGACAGCAAACGATTGCATCCGCAAATGTTCGGCAATTCCTTGGCCCAAAGAGAGAATGGGTTGAAGATCAGATTGCACCAAGTTGCCTTGGGGTCAAAACGGAACCGTATCTCCATATGACTCTCATACGAGTCTGTGTCTCTGTATGTTGCCGTGCATACCTGATCCACCTCCAACAGCGGCGTCTGCAGCAATCCAACAGCCTGTGTATGTTTGCCCGCCCTGTGAAGGTCGTTCAGCTCCGCTGTCGAACACCTGGCAAAAGTGAGTTTCAGGACATCGGCGACTTCGATCGTTGTGATCAGCTTTGTCTCGTCGATCTTGATGTCCTGATTGTCGTTATGTTGGAGTGCGGGCGCGTCCACCGGCTTGTCGATGACAGCGTCGTCATCGATGTCCAAGGTGGAACTCGACATCGCACGAGCCCAGGTGGTCAATGTACATATATGATATTTATGCGTGCAGTGGAACTGCGAAACCAAAGCCGGTGCGCTCCTTAATCTTGTTCTCGGCATACCAGATGTTGGCCCAGAACGGTCCGCGGCCTCGAAAAAGGGATCTGTACACTGACGTACGGACCATCGTGAGCAATGTCGAGGATCGGTCCGTAGATCTTACCCTTGCCCAGCATGAGCGCGACATCATTCTTTGCTGACCACAGGCGATCAACGGCGCGGCAAGGGGCCGAACCATGCAGACGCGCGCATATTAAGTCGTTGGTGCGGATGTTCTGGCAGCGACTGCAACGATCCCACGTGCCAAGAGGAAGTGTCCCCACCAAGGGTTCGAAAGACTCTTTCTTGCAATCGTCCACAACCATCCACCAGTGAACCATGGTCAGAAAGGCCTCGTCTGTCAGAGTCGGTGCAAGTTTCGCCACCGGCTCTCTGTTGTACACGAGTTTACCCAGTTGCGACCGGTCCTGATTCGGCACTGGTTGGAGACCTGGGATCTTTGGAACACTCGGTGCAGCAGAAGAAGAACAATAATAACGCATCCCAACAGGCATCGGCTTTGCTTTTGGTGCCTGGACGTGCGTCCGCGACGACTCTGCTGCTGGTGTTGCCACCGGCACAATCTCGCAGACCTCGCATTGGCTGCGTGGCGCCGGCAACTTGACCAACTCTGGTTACTTCAAACTCAAATTTGATGGCCATCGAGCGCCGCCCCCGACCGTTCTGATGGCCATGATGTCCATTGCTGGGACAGTCTGGGGGCACACGATGGCCCCTTGTTCGCCGAGCCAGAAGTCACAGCCAGCAGTCATGGCCGAGCGTATGTCGATAACCACGTCGACCTGCTTCTTCCTGTGCTCGATCTTGTATACAGGGATCGTAGCATGAGGGTTCTGTGTGTCATAGCGCACAAAGGAACTGGGCCTCACGCCGTGTGTGGCGGTCAGCACCATAGCCTGGAACAATACCAATCTTCCAAACACTCATCCAGGCATCCTTCGTCATAGCATGGCGCAAGTACTCTACATTCGTTCATGACAGACGCTTCCAGCCCATATTCCATGGTTGGCTGTTGCGGTGTACGGCAGCATGACCACCAACGGCACGGATAGCAAAAATATGATCCCATGCAAAGTCTGCTCCCAACAAGCCTGGGTTGGGACGGCGGACGAAGACCTGGAAGCGGGCCTTCTCGTCGTCGATGTGCAGCTGCAGGGCGCGCAAGACGGCGATCACGCAGTGCATCTCGCCATGGCTGGCCAGCACCGCTGGCCTGATGCACATGCGCGTGGACTGCATTCCGATTGGGGCCCTGATAATCTCTTGTGAATACTTCGGACACGATGTGGCTGAAGGACTTGTGGTGATTGGCCACGGCCCAAGTATCGACGCGTTCGTTCTCCCAGATATTGACACGGCGGTCGAGGAATTGATCCAAGCTGTTGCGGCCGCCGTTGTCGTGCCGTTGGTGCCCCCATGGCATGGCCAGGACACTTCAAACCAACCAGGAGAGGTAGGCCCAGCTGTTTGATAGTCACATTACATAGAGCAACCCATGTGTAGTCTGGAAGGCAACCACTGTTCTGTAGGTCGGGAGCGCACTTGATCACGTAGTCGCCGTAGCACAAACTCTGTTTGTAATCCTCGATCGTTCTGCCCGACTCATACTGACCACGTCCAAGCAGAATTGGTGGGACCCAGGGAAACGGGTCGGACACCTTGGCACGAAGAGCATGTTCTCTGGGAGTAATGCCAAGCGTGGTCTCGTCCTCTAGCGCCATCATGGTTTCGTGCTGCGATCGCGCGCAACAGTCGCGTGCGCCCATGATCTTGTACTTCACAGTCTCCACAGGTGGATCCGCAGGTGCGGGAGTTGCCTCCGGCGCCGCAGTGTCCACTGCTGAAGAGGACGGCGGTGCCGGCGGTGGAGTTGGCATTCCTGCCGACGCCGCCGATGCCGCTGGCGCGGGTGGCAATGGCACCTCCCATGCTGGTACAGGAGGCGGCCGCTTGGGAGTGGCACCCGCCATAGCGCCACCCTCTTGCGGTGGAGGATGCATCGGAGGAGCTGGCGGGCCAAGTACACGAGTTGTCGCAGGCGCGACGGATGGAGGATCAGGTGGTATCTCCGTCTGTGACTCGGCCTGATTATGAAACCAAGGGGTAAGCTCAAAGATGTAGTCCGCTTTGACATCACGCTCCCGTTCGAGGATACCTGACTCCTCGCTGGCACGGATCGGGGAAATATCCATGATCGCATTGACAAACTGCTTCAATACCACCCAGGTAGCAGCATGACGTACCATGTAGGTTGTGTTGCACACGGTCTTGAAGAATTCACGCTCAGGAGATGAGTAAGAGCCCATGTCTCGGGGAATGCGTCGAGCATACCGCTGAGGCGCCAAAATAAGATCCCAAGATATGTAGTATTTCTCCTCCGTAGGAGTGCGAAGCGCCTTGCCATCCCAATCCGGGCCGCATGCAGCAGGAATGGCCAGGTGGGGGGGGTCTTCATGGGGCGTCGCCTCCGTTGGGGCGGAAGCAGGGATCGGGCCCTGGTCCCGGCGTGTCGGGGCGGCAGAAGATGAACCAACTGCAGGAGGTGCCTCCGGCGGAAGGACTGGATGAAGTTCAGACGATGAATGAAGCGTCTGAAACGTCGCTGTTGTCCACGCAGCCAAGTCGCGTTCTCCCAGGGATTGCACGCGCAGAGCCTGAAGCCACTTGCGTGGATTGCTCCAGGCGAATGCGGAGAACTTCGCGCATCTCCCGCGCCTGGGAATGGCCCTGGTAATCGTTGACGGGCTGTATCAACGGATGGCGGAACGGGAATGACTGCGTCGGCAGCGAGAGAGAAACCGCACTCAGGTTCCTGAGGGTAGCGGCATGCATGAACTGCTGCGTCAACTGCACCAGGTTGTGGTTCGTCTCCTGTGGATGCCACGAGTTGGTATGCGGTCGACCCTGCTGTCGGATCCATTGGTCGACAGGTAGTACAGCAATACCACGGCCAGTGAACATCTTGATCATCTCGTTCATGTGCTCGTCGAACTTATCCGGAAGTCCCCATTGGCGGGCCTTGCCAGGACCCATGACTGTGGGAGAACGGAACCAGTTCAGAACGTCGACGCAACGAGATATGTCCACTTTGACATGCTCAGGAAGTGTTAGAACAACGTTGCCTGGTGAACAGAGCCAACGATTCTCGCACTCAGCTGGTGCTGGCGCACGAGCACGACGTGGCTAAGTTTCACCCATTTCCCGTCCGTGCGCAACGTCATTGCCAGACAGCCAGAGGAAGGCGCTGCGGCCTCGCTGGCAATGACGCCGCTTGACATTGGCCAGGGAACGATCCGCCCAATAAGCCCAGATCACTTCATTGAGCTCGCGGTACTCGTCGTCCTGACCAGTCATGTAGAGCGCACGAGCAAGGCACACATGATCGATGATCTGCTGCTGCTGCTGCTGCTGCTCCGCATTGGCTGAGTCGTTGGAGGCCATGATGTCGTCGAAACGACGACGTAGAGTAGCGCGGTAGGCCTCGCGTGCGGCAGCTGGCTCAAGAGTGCGGGCGTTGCCGCCGGTCTCCGGCAGCAGCGGCAAGCGGCGCGTCGCGCTCCTGCTTGTAGCGCTTGTAGCTGTTGCGCCATAAAGACCTGAAGAAGATGTCATCTCTCATCCACGTGGCGAAATCCTCCAGCGTCGCACCCGCCTGACACTGGAAGTCGCGCACCCATGGACAGACCAATGGAACCAATGCTGGATTGGAGGCACCAGCGATCCGACGACGCGAGTCGATGGAATTCAAGCCGTCGGCGCCAGCACATGGCGTCATTGATGGTTTCTTCTTGCCACTTGCGGACTTCGACGCCATGAGACAACTGGAATCACCGTAGAGATTGACCCGCTCGAAGGCGTGACCGTCGGGGCCCAGAGCGTGGATGGCGGCAAGGCCGACATCTCCGTTCATCAAGTGGGCCCATCCGTGGTCAATCATCATGCTCAAGTAGTACCGGCCATCTGCGAATGCAGACCAGCGTGGCGCCACAGTGTCTGGAGCGAAAGGGTCCTCGTGGAAACGCTCTGCATTCCCGTCGGCAGGAATGTCGGCAGGGCGACGGACGGTCGGAATCCAAGGCTCCCACGCTGAATCCACACTGGACACTCTCGTCAAGGTGGCGCGATCCTCTGCGAGCGTTGCCACCAGCATTTGGCCACAACTCTCGCCGCCGAATCCTCCGCGGGCAGTGACCCACGAGGATGCTGTGATTTCGTACTCATTATGTGCGGACAGCACGGGGAAGACGCCACGCACGCTGAAGCGCCTCGGCGAGTTGGCCGATATGCCCCGCCACATCAGATGCACGAGGTGCGGCAGGCGGATCCACGGGCAACTGAATGTCCGACTGCGTGGAGAAGTCATGCGCCGTGAATCCGTGGTCGTGGACACACAGCGGATAAGGACCGTTGGGTCAGTGCTCTGGGCTCAGCATCTGCATGGCCTCGACGAGGCTCGCAGCTGACGAGCCACTCAAGAATGCAGTGCCCACTGCGCCCCACGGCATCCGTAACACTTTCCACACTCCGCTCGCCACACGCGCACAGATCTCCTCCGGCGGACACTTGGGCGCCTCGGCGCCGACGCCAATCCCGGGGAATTTGCCCAGAGAAAGTCAGGGCACTGGCGGGCCGCATGATCAATCCAAGAGTCCTTAGAAACCCAGACGAAGAAGAATGCCATCCACGGCGCGGCCGCGGCAGGGGCGGAGCTGGGCCCCACGTCTCCGGCGATTACGTCGCCAGTCTCGAACGCCGCCTGGGATGCCGAGGTGAGCAACCCCCGCTTGCTCGAGCGGAGCCAAAAGGATCCGCTCCCGTCAGGGCGACTCTCCGCCACGCGCTTGTAGCTCAGTCCGCTGCTGAACGGGCGGTTGCGAGCAGTCTGCGACTCGAAGGCTGGCCCGTTGCGGACGTTGCCATCGGCGGACGCTGGAGCGCCACCTCCAACCTGCATCCCGTGCAGCTTGATCGGAGGCGTCGACATCGCGGGCCGATCGGCGCGGGCTGGGCCCCCCGCGCGAGTGGGAAGAGGAGTCGAGCGCGGGACCGTTAAAGCGTGCAAATTGCTGCGGAACAAGAATGAATCACGCTTGCAACGCACGACAACACACACGCGTGCGAATGACTGCGGCAGTGGAGATACTAGCGGCCATGGCACCCTCGACGGAAGGCGCGGTTTCGGCGATCTCCGGCTTACCAACGGTCTTCGCCTGGGCGGGAAAAAAGAAAGACTACTCAAGGAGGTCCTGCCACAAGTGAGCTTCCTTAGGCTCAAAGTGTTTTGTCATCATATCTGCAACATGTTCTTTTGTTCCTACGTACTTTAGTTGGATATGTTCCTGTTGATATGCTTCCGTAAACCAATCCGAGTTAATACGATGTGTACGATGAAGGCGACGAAGGGATGGTGCAAGTCCCTTGTGCACCATCGCAATCACTGCCTCGCTGTCCTCGGCCGCAATGAGGCTGACGACGGGTGGTGGAGCAGAGCGAGCAGGGGGATGAGGAGCATGTAGTACCACATCATCACACAAGATAGCATTGGTAGTAGATGGCGGCGACGTGGGCAGCGTCTGCGTTGGGGGCCGCGCGCGGGGGGAAGAATCACGCGCGGGCGAAGCCCGTCGTTTTGGTGGTTTGCGACGCTTCTTCTTGGCCACCAGCGCAGCGTCGCCGCGCGCGGCGCGCGCCACCGCTTCCCAGAACGATAACAAGGGCAGGCCTTCAGTTCGTGGCGCAGTATCCAGCGCCACGATCTTCGCCTCGGTAGAAGAGTCGGAGACAACGGTCTGCATCTTGCACGCGCAAGTTGGGCCCAACGAGGGCGACGAAGGCGCCAGCGGTAGATTTTGACGTGCCAACGCAGTCTACAAACGAGGCATCTGTGAACAGCACGATCGAAATTTTGTTCAACTCATCACCAATCCATCCGAGTAGGCAGCGAAGCCGCGTGGATTTGAGATAGCAGACCAGTCGATGTAACCTTTCATAACAGGCGCAATTCCACTCAGCAATCCCCCCGGCAAGCATGCACACCGGATGCATGAGATCAATATGCAGCAGCGGGCCAAGTACAAGATCTTCATGAATACACTCGCGGCGTCTGGTCCCAGTACGTCGGCATCTTCATAGTCTCTGTCGGTGAACGATGCGTCCTCTATGCCAGGAGTATCAGCACGCAGGAGTGCGTCGCAGGTGAAGCCTGTGGCGTCGGGCGCGGGTTTTGCCACCGACGGGGGGCGTCGGGGTGCGGGTTTGTCAACCGGCGCCCTCGACCGAAGCTTGTATGTTCTCGGCTTCGGCGATATGGATCGCTTCCGTCGGGATCCAGGCACCCCGGGTCGCTTGGAGACGCATCTAGATAGCGTTCGATGCATTGACCGGTGAAACCAAGCATGTCAAACCGAATCCCACGCACATTGGAAGCTGACGCGCACTGCTTCCTGTCGCGTTCAGGAAGCGCGGGTCGCATCGCATTCATACGCTTGTCGAAAACGTCCTGTGGTACTTTCCAACTGTCTTGGCCACATCCCAAGTAGTGGTCCCATTTCGTAGGAGGGTCCAGTTCGATACCACTGTGTCGTATCAGGTCCCATCACTTATTGAGGTTGTCCGTGGGTCCTGCCATCTTGAAGTCGTCGACATAAACTGACAAGATGAGGTCGAGCTCGTCGCATTTCCACGCGCATTCCCAGCCGGGAATGGGAGGAAGCCCACTGATTCGAGACTGGCACGGCAATGTCGTTCCCGGAAGACACCTGCCAGTGGGTGGCCATACAGAGCAAGTCGGAGACGCCACACGGGGTTCTTGTATTTTGCCCTAGATGATGGTTGTCTCCGTTTGGGTAAGGTGTTCCAAATATCCACTGGGTCGATGCGACCGTCACCATACAGCAGCGCCTGTGCGCATACACCCGGAGCGTCACTCTGTTGACCTCCGCTGCCAGGCAAGAGCGCGGTGGCGTCACATAGCTCGGAAGCCTCGATATGAGAGGCGCTCGAGGCAGCGTCGGCGAAGACCGCAGCAGGGCCACTCTCGTCCTTCATGTTGTCGCCCGCGTTACGTACAACATCGTCTCGTTCCATCACCGTGTCGACCGGCCCTGTCTGTTTCTTCTCCCGACATTCAGATTATTTTCGAGATGAATCCTGCGCTAGAGGTTCGGCCGCGACCTCTTTCTTGGTGAGGTTGCGGGTGGCGAGGTTGCGCGTGACGATGTAAGGCCGAATCCAGTGGGTGGAGTCAAGCTTGCCCCTGCGGCGTTGTTTGCGATCCTGAACACGAGGCATCATAGGCACCAGGTGGGACTTGTCGGTCGCCACATGCGATCGCACAACGCCTGCAGGATCGGCACCCAGCGCTGGGCGGAAGTAAAGTACAGCGATGATGTCACATGGCCCGTCTGGAAGCAGCGCATTGGTGATGCGCCGGTCCGTGGCGCCCGCCACTGTCTCGCCCCTGATCACGGCATGGCCGTGGAGGTCGCACGTAAAACGTCGTTCCACATTGGACCAGGGTGGTCCGTCACCGTCGGTTGTCTGAAATCGACGAGTGTTTCTGTCCGTACGCGTCCAGATACGAAGAAAAGAATCGCGGCGGACCTTCCGCGCTCGGATGACGTCTTTGGCGAACTCTCGTTCCGCCGCTCGTTCTTGCTTAGACATCATATTCCAGAACTCTGGCAACACACAGTCAGGTCGAGCAGTAGCTTGGACGCGAGTATCCCGACCGAGGACGTCGATCTCGCCGTCGGTCGAAATCTCGGGACGCTTGCAGAAGCGAGCGACGCCCGTTCAGGGTTCGCCGAGATGGCGGCGGTCGCTGGCGGAACCGCCCCACGCATCACGGAAGCATGTCTCCCCTTTCGAAACTCGACGTAGCTTCAAAGCTTCGAACGACGTCGATTTTGCTACGGGGATTCCGATGACGTCGTCGGCAGGGCGAAAGAGCTAGGTCCGCGGTGTACGACTGTGCCGCAGGATAGCCTCACCGCGCCGTTCCCGGCAGTCAGGCTCGGGGGCCGGAGCCGAAGGCTCGGGCGCCTCTGGAGGCGGCCCCCAGGAGCCGAGAACCTCAGAGTGTTCTGGTGCAGCATGAACCGAGACACTGGGGCCATCCCATTCGGACGGGCACAGGAGGGGCGGATCGCCCTGTGCTGGGACGCCCAAAGGCCGAGAGGTCTGGAACGAGATCAGCTCGCGTTTCTCGGGGCTGCGGCGCCGTAGGAGGCCTTCTCGGACAGGGAAAACCGGCCCCCCATCAGGAACCAAGGTTTTTGACAAGATGAGCGCGGCAGTGTTCCCCGACAGGGTTCCTAGCAATAGGTGGCTGTGTCGATGACGAGGTAGTCGCCAGACCATCGCCCACGAGAGTGAAGGTGGTAACCCATGAACAAGCCCTCTCGAGTAGTCTCGTCAAACTTCACCGCGGACTCGTCGAGGTCTGGGTTAAGCATTCCAAAAGATACGAGCACCAAATGGAACCAATTGTCATTTTAAGGACTCTCCGAAGTGAACTTCGCACGAAGAGAAGTCGGCGCATGCGCCCATAGTCGCAGCAACTCCGTGACACGGTCGGGCAGCGCAGTTGCGGCCACAACACCATGCCTGCATAGCCTCTTTCCACCATGACCAAGTCCAGAGTTGTGGAGTACAGCCCGCGCGCCCTGTCTGAAGACTTGACCGCGCGCTCGGCCATGCCGTTTGTCCGTGGCCGACGTGGCGCGCTGGCATCACGACGCCATCCCAACTGTCGGCATGCATTTTGTAGTTCCCCAGAACTGTCTGTGTAAATTCGTTTGACCTCATCATTGGGCGCAAGGAACTCCAGGAACGATGCCTCGGTGGTCTCGGCGCCCATATGCTTCGCGGGGCATGCCATGATAGCGCCCGTAAACTTGCCCCTCTCAACGAGAGCGCACTTGTCGCCGTACTTGTCGGCAGCCTCGTCCGCAGCAAGCACGATGTGGTCTGCAGTCAGAGCCTCGCCGAATCGCTGCGTTACAAAGGCCCCATTGTGAACGTGATCGGCGGCAGGGTCACGAGGTGGATTCGTTCGGGCGGCGCCGTCGTCGACATGGCGCGTTGTGCACCAGGATCCGCGCACAAATCTCACGATCTGGACGCTTCGGAGCATGGGTGGCGCTGTGCGAAGGGTCGATGGGGGGACGTGGTCTGCCCGGCAATGCAGGCGCGACCACCGGCTCAGCCGTCGGAACCAGGTGGTGGTCACACGTAATTATCTGCAGCGTCGGTGCTGCTGTAACCACCGGCGCTGCTGGCGTGGCCACCGGCAAAGTTGGGCCCTCTTGCGCAATGGCGCTAATAATGATGAAGAACATTGCGA